TGCGGGTATCATTTAACCAATTTCGGATAGTGCATGGGTTAGTCCCGTGCAAGTTGTGCCAAAGAAGGGGGTATCACTGTAGTGAAAAACGAGCATAATGAGTTGATCCCCACTAGGACGGTTACGGGTTGGAGGATGTGCATTGATTATAGGAAGCTGAATTCGAACACCCGTAAGGACCATTTTCCTTTGTCCTTCCAAATGCTAGAGAGGTTAGCCTTGCATTCTCATTTCTGCTTTCTTGATGGCTACTCGGGATTCTTCCAAATCCCCATTCACCCTAGCGATCAGGAAAAGACCACCTTTACATGCCCATATGGCACCTTCGCATACCGTAGGATGCCCTTTGGTTTGTGTAATGCACCGTCGACATTTAAGAGATGCATGACTGCAGTATTTTCTGATCTCATTGAGAATGTTATGGAGGTGTTCATGGATGATTTTTCTGTCCATGTGCCCTCCTTTCATGTGTGTCTGATGAATTTGCGTGGGCATGTTGGACAGGTGAGTTGAGGCGAATCTTGTGCTGAATTGGGAGAAGTGTTATTTCATGGTCCAAGAGGGCATCGTGCTAGGCCACAAGATTTTGAGCAAGGGGATTGAGGTTGATCGAGCTAAGATCGAAGTGATAGAGAAGTTGCCGCCTCCACAGAATGTTAAGGGAATCTGGAGTTTTCTGGGACATGTCGGGTTCTACAGGAGGTTCATCAAGGACTTCTCGAAGATTTCAAGGCCTTTGACTGAATTACTTGCAAAGGACGTGCCTTTTGAGTTCACACATGAGTGACAGGCCGCCTTTGAGACTCTAAAGAAGGCATTGACCTCTTCGCCCATCATTCAACCGCCGGATTGGGAAGCTCCCTTTGAGCTTATGTGCAACGCTAGTGATTTTGCAGTAGGGGTTGTTTTGGATCAGAGGAGAGACAGGAAGCTTCATGCCATATACTATGCGAGTAGGACCTTAGACGATGCTCAGATGAAGTACCACAACCGAAAATAAACTACTTGTCATAGTATTTGCCTTTGAGAAGTTTTGGTCCTACTTGGTTGGTTCGAAGGTAATCGTCTATACCGATCATGCTGCTTTGAGGTACCTTCTATCCAAGAAAGACGCCAAGCCTAGACTAATTAGATGGGTGCTCTTGCTGCAAGAGTTCGACTTGGAAATCAGGGATAGGAAAGGTATAGAGAATGGAGTGGCCGACCATCTTTCCCGAATTGAATGCCATGAGAGGGTTCCAATCAATGACTATCTTCGGGATGATCACGTGATGGCGGTACAAGTCAGGGAGAGAGACCCGTGGTACGCAGATTTTGTTAATTTCATTGTCAGCGGGTACATTCCTCACGAGCTTAACTATAATGGGAGGAAGCGGTTCTTCAGAGACGTCAAAGAATATTTCTAGGAAGAACCCTTTCTTTTCAAAAGAGGCAAGGATGGCCTCTTTAGGCGATGCATTCCCGAAGAGGAAGTCCAAGGCGTGATTCACCATTGTGATTCTTCGGACTATGGAGGTCATTTCGGAGCGTCGAAAACCGCAGCGAAAATTCTTCAAGCCAGGTTTTATTGGCCTTCAATGTTTAAGGACGTTCACCAATATGTCTCTTCTTGTGACGTTTGCCAAAGGACCGGGAATATATCATGCCGCCATGAGATGCCTCAGCACTACATCTTGGAAGTTGAGCCCTTCGATGTTTGGAGAATCGACTTCATGGGGCCATTCCCGTCTTCCTATGTGAATCAGTACATTCTAGTGGCGATAGACTATGTCACCAAGTGGGTTGAAGCAATGGCGAATCCCACTAAGGACTTGAAGGTGGTGACAAAAATGTTCAAGAGGGTGATCTTTCCAAGGTTCGGGATGCCAAGGATCGTGATCAGCGATGGAGAATCTCACTTCATCAACCGCACCATCGAGGAAAGATTGGGAAAGCTTGACGATGCTCTATGGGCGTATAGGACAGCCTTCAAGACACCCATCGGTATGTCTCCCTTCCAACTTGTTTATGGGAAAGCTTGCCACCTTCCGTTGGAGCTTGAGTATAAAGCTCTTTGGGGCGATCAAGAAGCTGAATTTTGATTGGAAATCGGCCGCAGAGAAGCGGATGTTAGAGCTTCATGAGCGTGATGAGATTCGGATGGATGCGTATGAGAATGCCCGAATCTACAAGGAGAGGACGAAGAAGTGGCATGATCGTCGTGTATTGCAGAGAGTATTCAGAGACGGTGACCAAGTACTCCTCTTCAACTCTCAATTTAAGCTCTTCCCCGGAAAGCTAAAATCGCGTTGGTTGGGGCCGTTCACAATCAAGAAGGTTTATTCTCATGGGGCGGTAGAGTTATACGGTCATGGAGGAACCACATTTAAGGTGAATGCTCAAAGGTTAAAGGTCTATAACCCCGGAGAACGAGACATGGGGAGAGGGACATTGCGCCTCTCTGATCCAGGTGAGGAATAGGAGCAAACACGGTTAAGCTTAAGACCCTAAACAAGCGCTCTCGGGAGGCACCCCGAGCTTGTATATATCATTTTTCATATCCTTTTTAGCATTTGCATCTCATTTAGAATCATTCATTTGCACTCTCTTGATTGGATTTGATACTTTCCTTGTGTTATTGATGTTGTTTAGAGCTAGATTAGACAGGCCGTGATGCAGGAAAATGGGAATCCAAGCGCGAAGTCGGGAAGCTGCCTAGAATGGAGGCAAAACGGACGGTCTACCCCGAAATGGTCCGTCCATTCTGGGACATGTGGAACGGGCGGTCTACGGTCTCCGATACGTCCATTCTAGGTCACAAATTCGCAATAAAAAGGCAAGTGGGATTCAGTCCGCCCACTCTCCGTTCCACACACACTTGAGACCGAACTCGAGCTCCCCTCCTCCGACGATTTCTCCAGCAGATTCCGGCCGTCTCCATCTCCGGCGAACCTCCCCAGTCCGCGGCGAACCCCCATTCTCTCTCTCTCTCTCTCACTCTTGCTCCCATTCGTTCCATTCTCAAATCCCTAAGGTACAATCGAAAAAAATTTTGAGCGATTGATGAGTAAAGGCCTTAATTCTTGCAAAATCGGCTTAGAATAGATCGCATTTAGGGATTCTAGGGGAGAAGATCGTGAAAACCCGAAGAAGACATTTAGGGATTCCGGTGGAAGATCGTGAAAACCCGAAGAAGATCGTGAATCGCATTTAGGGATTCCGGCGGAACTCCGGAACGGACGGTCTGCAGGTTTAGAACGTCAGGTCTGGCTCGCGAAGAAGAAGACATGCCAAGTACCCTAGAACGGATGGTCTGCATAAGCAGAACATCTGTTCCAGATACTGCTAGACCGAAGCCCGAGCAGACCGATCGTTCTGTGCCTTCTTTGCCCAGTCCATCCTTTCCCAAGTCTGGAACTATAGACCCGACGGACCGGATCCCTGTCTGCGCAGAAAAATTCACACGTTCGGTCCAGACGGCCTGAAACTAGACCGTATAGGATCGAAACACCGTGAGATAAATTTTTCATCGTTTATCGGCTTCTCACGACTTCTTTTCGAGCCATCCATGCTATAATCCATCCATGCTATAATTAGCCGTTTGATGTTTTATATCTTGAGCAGATGGATTTCGAAGTATACTGCGACACCGCTCCCAAGACAGAACCGTTTGAAATACCTGAGAGCGCAGTGGGAGAACTCACAGAGCTGACACCTATCACTACCACCCACGAGGACCCCCCACGCATCCAGTACGTCCTAGCAGCTTAGAGACACCGCCACGTCAGGTTCGAGGGCCAAGGGCTTTCACCGACAAAGTTTATAAGCACATTCAGAAGCTCGGGATAGAGGAGCAAGTGAGATATCGGTTCCATCAGCTGGGATGGGACAGACTCTTCATGACGCGGGAGGAGACCTACAAACACCTCACGTTGGAGTTCATGTCCTCATACAGGTGTTACTTCCCAGAGGATGGCTCGATAGAAGATGCTCATATGCTCTTCGTCTGGCCAATCAGACTTACTGTTTCAGCATGACGGACTTCGCTGAGATACTCGAGGTTCCACAGGGAACCACGAGCATGTGGCCAGACATCTCTACAGAAGCATACCATCAGTTTGGGAGGACTATTGCATCGCAGGACGCTTCAAAGGGAAAAGGGAAGTCCACATGAATCAGGCATCCGGCGGTACGATACCTGCACATGTTTATGTCCAGAGGTCTGTTTACTAGAGGAGATCAGGGTAACGTCACGACCCTAGACGTATGTTTGCTATGCCGAGCACTTAGAGACGCATTTGACGACGATGATTGGGGGATGTCGGAGCTAGACGTGGCATCCAAGGTGGCTCTACACATTCATTGGAGCGTACGGAAGGGCTCGGCCAAGGTCCCGCTATGGATGGGCGGCATTGTATCCATGATCGTCCGGAGAGTGGGGATAAACTTAGGGATTAGATGGGGCGCTATCGACGGCCCCACAGAGATGGATTTAGATACTCTCTTCCTGAAGAGAGCTATTGAGAACCCGGCTCGCACTCGATACGCATGGAGGTATCTGGACGAGAACGCCACACCACGGACGGTCACTCTACCCACGATCGAGCTACCCCCGCTGACTATCAAGGGCCTACACTTCCGAGTGACATCGCAGCAGGCCCCGAGGAGACATCAGCCCCATCCTCCTGCCCGTCATTTCGACAACGAGACTACTGGAGACCTTCCAGAGCACGACACTGCAGCTGAGGAGCCAGTTGAACACACAGCCGAGCCGAGCCAGCCTAGGATGAACCGCAGGAGACGCAGAGAGTCGCCAGGTAGGGCTGGGCATTTTTACCCGAGACCCGCGGGTTTCTGGGTACCCTATCTCACGGGTACCCGGGATTTAATACTCGTGAGACAATGAGATAGAGACCGAGTTCCGTGAGACGAAAAACCCGAGTTTCGGGTTCGGGTTCGGGTTCGAGTTCGAGAATATTGTGACGGGTTATCTCACGGGTACCCGGCAAGAAAAATAAAAATACAAAAATACCCTTACTATTTAATATATTTACAAAAATACCCTTAAACCTAATTCACCCTAAGTCTCTCTCTTGAATCGTGGCCTCCTCTTCTTCACCCTTCAGAACAGCTCTCCTCTTCAGAACAGCTTTCTCGCCTCTCGGTCTCTCTCCGTCTTTCGCTTCTCTATCGTTCGCCTGTGCTCTGTCTCTGTCATTCAGCTCTGCTCCGTCGTTTCTTCGTGTCTGTCGTTCGGCTCTCCTCCGTCCTTCGCTTCTCCTCCGTCTCCGCCATCGTTCGCTTCTCCCCCGGTTCCTCTCCCGCATCTCAGCATCAAGGACACTCCCATTGTGAGTTCTTCTCTCCTATACCATCTTCTCTTTCTTTGATTCTTCTGCCTTACTAAATCTGTTTAGGATTCGAGCTTAGAAATCTCAGTCTTTAATCTCTCATAAGTTCCAGATCTGATCTATTCTTAATGATTCGATTTCGATTTTTCAGTTTTGAGTTTTGTATGGATTCATGAAATCTGTTTACTAGAAACCAATTTTCGAGTTTTGAATTGGAAAGAATTTTGATTTTGTGATACAATAACGAAAAAGATAACGTTCGTGAAAAAAAAAAAGATAAGGTTCGTGAAAGTTGCAGATTTATGTGTTTTAATATCTTTGTGTCGTTCTTTAACAAAAGATATATATCTCTGTGGTGTTGATTTTTTATTCTATCTAATGTGTTCCTTACTTATGGTTTTTTTGTTTCTACAGGTGTGCTCGTATATCTGAAAATTATGAAGATGTATATGGATTGGATGTTGAACTTATGAAATTTATGATTTAGATTTTATTCAAACATTTTAGATATGTTTTAGACGTTGGATATATTTTGGATGTTGAATTTTATGTTATTGATGTATTAATTTTTGTGTATTTGTCAAGACTTTTTTTAAAAAAAATTACACGAGTTCGGGTTCGGGTATCACGGGTACCCGGACTTATGTCTCGGGTACCCGAATCTCGGGTACCCGGACTTCGCGAGATAAAGATCGAGATATTCCGATCAAAAACCCGACGAGACCGAGATCGAGATCCGGGTACCCGTCCGTGCCCACCCCTAACGCCAGGAGCTTCTTCCTCATCGACATCAGCTACCCGGACAGATATCCAGGGGTTCCAGGACATGATACTCCAACAGTCCAGCACCATGAACACCCGATTCGACCACCTGGAGCTACGGATGGACACCCAGAAGCAGCACATGAGCTCCTTAGAGGAGTTAGTGACGTCCATGCTCACGGAGAGAGAGACACCGCCATGCCGCACGACTCCACCACCGAGAGACACCGATCGCATGGACACCGAGGATGGAGCCCAGTACAGCTCTTAGGCAGATGTATCAGGATCATTTTCTCTTTATTTTTCATTTTTTCTGCATTATGGGACCTATGACTTTAGTTTTTATTTTGCTATGTTGTCTTGCATGCTTGACTGTTATCGGATTCACTTGATCTTTGTTTGTTTTAAGCTCTTATCTAAGGTTGAATCCCGACTTAGAACAAAAGACAACACATAATGTGGAATACATCAAAAGTGGAATGCAAGGAGGCATATTTCAACCTTGGACACCAAGGTTACACATTAGCCCTCCTCCACTTCAATACAATTCTTTCATATCCCACATTTTCCACCCCTTTGGATTTGAGTGTCACCGCGGACGGTGTCTCGTTCAAGTCTGGGGGGTAAGCATCTAACATCAGTTTAAGTCCCTTCTAGGATGCATTTCATACATTCACTTGCATATAAAAAAAAATCATCATTTCTCTCTTACTATATATATCACTTAGTCTTGCATTGCATTTGTCACATATAGGTCTAGATCATGTAGGAGCATATGCATTGCATAAACCGTTTCAAGTTGAGTTTGATCGATGATGGGATGATGGTGATAGCTGCTTAGAAATTGCCTAGTGAATTGGACTTAGATCTTTCTAAGTATTTGAGTAGATTGTCGATGATAGGTGAATAGCGAACCCTCTCTTTGATGCTAGCGATTCTAGGTTGTGGGGTATATTGTTGTCTTTAGGTACACCAAAGAGTAGGATCGACCAAAACCAGGTTAGACATCTCCCTAAAAACCGTTCCCGTAGTCTTTCCCATAGGATGGATAGCCTCTTTGGACAGAACATTGCAGGAATAAGCGAAGAAAGTATATTGTCGATGATAGGTGAATAGCGAACCGTCTCTTTGATGCTAGCGATTCTAGGTTGTGGGGTATATTGTTGTCTTTAGGTACACCAAAGAATAGGATCGACCAAAACCAGGTTAGACATCTCCCTAAAAACAGTTCCCGTAGTCTTTCCCATAGGATGGATAGCCTCTTTGGACAGAACATTGCAGGAATAAGCGAAGAAAGTATATATCTCAACACTCCGTTGTCATTATATCGCCAATGAAAATCATTCGATGAGATGAGTGCGTCGAAATTCGATGGTTCGGGTCTAAGTTGTGGGACAAGTGTCATGATCACTAAAGAAAAGCAAAAAGCTAAGACACTTGTCAACTTCAACATCCTAGGAACCCGAGATGATACTTCTCCAAAACTTAGTCTCTTGAAAGAAAGAATAAAAGAAAAAAAAAAGAAAAGAGATGAAAAGAATAAATGAAGAGACAACATACCTTAGGAAGAAAAACGGTAAATAGGTTCAGGAGAGTGTTTGGGGGTAGTGATTACTCTTATGGTAGATTTTGGATGACATAGAAACCCCATGCTTAGGAAAGTTAGCCGACAAGAGAGGATATAGCTAGAGTAGTCTAGATTCGATTCTATTCCCATGAACTAAGCATTGGATACGCAGCTAGTTCTGAGGCTCACCAAAAACTGATCTCTTACTCACCACCCCGCTTTTGTGTTTCATCGATTTCATTTGCTCGAGAACGAGCAAAGATTTAAATCTGGGGGGATTTGATGGCTCGGATTTTATCTAGATTTTATACCGATATTGCCTTTGGTTTCGAAACGGTTTCCACACATACTAGGCATATTAGAGCCATTTTTAGGTCTTTGGGACTAGGTTTTGACCAGCGCAGGTGCTCGAGGGTTTTCGGGACGAAACGGAGAAGACCCATATTTTTCCAGATTTGGGTCTGGAACGGACGGACCATCTGCGGCGGAACGGACGTACCAAGCGCACAGACCCGACAGACCACAAGACAGCCCCTCTGAACTGAACCAGGATGCTAGACCCGACGAACTAGAATACAAGGCAAAACGGATGGTCTACACTTGCGGAACGGATGGTCTGCCAATCCGGAACAGACGGTCTGAAGCTCCGGAACGGATGGTCCGACGAACTGAATCAACCTAGAACAGACGGACCACTGCACAGACTCCGCCAAAGCTACGCCGTTTCGCGTTTCTCTTCGGGTTTTTGAGGGGAAATGAGTTAAGAGAACCCTAAGTTCGATTGATGGCCAAAATTAGAGACCTTGGAAGAGAAAAGGAGAGCTCTTGGAGGAGAAAGAAGAAGGAGGATACTCCATTGAAGATTGAAGATTTCTTGAGCATCTCTCTACTCTCTCTCTCTCTCTATGATTTCTGCACTTTATCCTTGTCTTGCTTTGTTCTTGAACATGGATTGTAAGTAGTTTTCTTGTTGTGGGATGAGGGGTTAGCCCTCATGTAAAGATGCTTGCTTGTATTCACCCTTGGACCCAAGATTGTGCTTTGTTTATGCTTTCAAACTCTTGCAATTGAATGAAATTTTGTTCCTCATGACTATCTCTCATCTCTCTTGAATGAATGATTAGGGAGACCTAAGATTTGTTGAATTGGGTGATGCAATTGCTTGGGTTTTGATTGTTAGGGGTTGATGAATGATGTTTAATGTTACCCATTGGAAGAGAATCTTATGGGTAGAATTTTAGGATTGTGAATTTCATGGAGACATGAGTTCTTAGTCTTTTGATGCATTCACTCAATTGGATTGAAATTGAACCAGAAGAAATTCGATTCGAGTCAATCTAGGATTATGACAAGGGCATTTAATGCATTCGGAGTTTCACTCTAGGCCACGAAAGTGGGTAGAGTGCTCTCTCGGATAGCGGGTTTTCGGGTCGAAAGAACCGAACCCGACCTTAGTCTTCGAATCCCTCACTTTAGAACGAGCATGATCTAGGTCCACAATTCCTTATGGCATCCTTGCATGATCCGTGAAACCCGATTTCCATAACCTTTTCCATCGATTATCTTCTCTTGAATTATTGCTTGCTTCGGTTTTATTTCTCTCATTAAATTTTCTGCAACTTTGAAAACCACAAAAACAATCATCAACATTATTTTCATAATTTTCCTAGTCTTAGTCGTTTCCTAGCTTAACCGTTTAAGTCTTTGTGTTCGACCCTGATACTACGACATCCATATACTTGCGGATTAGTTGTGTTTCGGGTTATAAATTTAAGACTCGTCACGCAAGTGATCATCCGTCCATTCTAGATTGGTTCAGTTCGTCAGACCGTCCGTTCCAACGGTGTAGACCGTCCGTTCTGTTTCTTCAGACCGTCCGTTCTAGCTTCGCAGACCGTCCGTTCTACGTTGTCTTCCGGTCCGTGGGGTCTTCGTTCTGGTTTGGTTCGGAGGGGCTGTCTTGTGGTCTGTCGGGTCTGTACACGCAGTCCATCCGTCCCGCAGTATGCAATCTGTCCATTCCAGATCTGGATCTGGAAAATTCTGCTTCTGTCTTCTCCGTTTCGTCCGGTAAACCCTCGAGTTCCCCTCGGGTTCCTGCAATGGTCAAAACTAGCCCCAAAGACCTAAAAATGGCTCTAATATGCCTAGTATGTGTGGAAACCGTTTAGAAACCAAAGGCAATATCGGTATAAAATCTAGATAAAATCCTAGCCATATCAATGGTTCACTTTGGATCCTCATACCTGAGATATCTATTGTATCCGTCATGATGAGTAATGTACTTTGACTGCGTCAAACGTCATCTTTAACCGGATGATTATAGAGGTGTGGCTCGGGTACATTACGAATCATGAAGTGGATAGTCAAGATGGAATTTTATCCCTCTCCCGAAAGAGAGAGATATCGTTGGGCCCGTCGTAGGAGTGACACTGTAGAAATGTGTGGCCGCACTATAGATGAAAGTCATCTATCTCTTACAGTCTACTCGGGATATGATAAAGCAATCGAACTATGAGTTCGATTATGATATCGTGAGACAAAGAGGATTATCGTTAGAGATATCTCTGGCTTTTCGGTTAAATCATATCTAACTATTTCCAATACAAGTAATCATAATTAATAGGGAAAATGTTTTTCTATATTATTGATAATGGGAAGAATACATCATAATATATAGCAAAATACAATAGAATATTCTAGACATAATATCTAGGGTAAATCATAACAATATTAATGATAATATTCTAAGAATAATATCTTCCTATATGCCCCCTCAAGATGAATCATCTATGATGAATTCAATCTTGTTACATAAAAACTAAAAACTGAAATTGTGATCGTATTAAACGAATCATCTTCCATGTGGTGGTGTAGTCCAGACTTGAGTTGGTGTTGTTTGATAACGTTTGAAGAGCTTGAGAGTTGTATTCTCAGAGGCTGATGTGGCACGGATGTGCGGCGCATATGCGCGAGTTGGGTTGCGCGACAATGAGGTCGGCAGCGCAAAAAAAATTGCGATGAGTATAGCGGCTAGGCCGGAGAAAAGAAAAAAAATGGGCGCAAAAGCGCGACACATAATGTTTGATAATCTAGCAGCGGAACAAGAGAAGAAAATAAAAATAAGTGACGCAAATACGTAGATCGACGATCGGAGTTTTCCAATCGAAAGAGGCTAATAGCCATGTTTAAAGAGCTTACAACGGCTAGGGTTGACGTCGATAAACGAACATCGTCGTTAAAAAAAATAGCACATCGGCTAGGGTTGACGTCGATAAACGAACATCGTCGTTAAAAAAAATAGCACATCAGCTAGGGTTGACGATGATGAACACCGCCGTCGGGAAAAAAAATAGAAGAAAAAATAAAGCAAAATAAATTTAAAACGATACTCAAGACGATGATACTATTGGTTTAGTACATCGTTGTCATCTTCATCGTCGCTTTCGGATTCGACCGACATTGTTGATGAGAAGAAGAAAAAAAAATTAGAGCAAAAACCGAAGCTCTGATACCATAATAGAGAAAATGTTTTTCTATATTATTGATAATGGGAAGAATACATCATAATATATAGCAAAATACAATAGAATATTCTAGGCATAATATCTAGGGTAAATCATAACAATATTAATGATAATATTCTAAGAATAATATCTTCCTATAATAATGTCTTGATAGAGACCGCTTATGAATTGTAAAGTGAGATTGGATCTCGCGTTTACTACCGTATATGGATGAGACTAAAGGGTCACACATATATGGGATGGACGTGTATGAACGGGATCGGTCGTACGAGAAAAATCGGATTTTTCTTCGTTTTGAGGTCTGGTCCGGAGCTGACCAAGAGTTGGTCAGCCGGACCAGACAAACTTGGGAGAAGCGAAGTGAATGGCCGAAAAACTGGTCTAGTCCGGAACTGACCAGACCAGTTATGCTGACCTGATTGTGCGAAGCTCAGATCTGCCTGGTCCGACAGACCGAAAGTTGGTCTGGCGGACCAGACAGGTCAGACTGACTGAGGGTGTGGTCTGGAGCATGTCTGATCCGCCGGATCGTGGACTGTCGGCAAAGAAGTTGGATATGTGTGCTTCGCGTTTTCTCGCCTTTTTCTTGGTGGGAAGCAGGTGGGAAACCTAACACTCGACCTAATCCTGACCCTAAACTATCAGATGAGCTAGGGAACTCTGGAGAAAACTCTCTCAAGCTCAAGAGAGTGTTCTTGATCCATACACAAGAGATTTGATCTCTTCAAACTCTAGCAAGCAAGATTCCAAGAGTTGGAATCCATCCCAAGGGTGTGGACTTCTCAAGAGGGTGTTGACTCTTTCAACACCTTGGCTGTGATCATCTAATCGCAATCGAATTGTGAATCAAAGGATTCAAATGTGAGTTTTCTCTCTTGGAAGTTCTTCATCGAAAGAGAGATTGGTCCGTAAATGTTCAAAATCGGTTTTGAACGCCAATTCCGCTGCACAAACCCGGGAACCAAATCCTAGCACGGTTTTGAACCGTGATCGAGGATCCCATGCGACCCATCACAATTATCATAATTAACGTATCAATTTTGGCTCGAGACTCGAAGTTCAGTTTGATTCGGTCCATACATCGATAATCATAATTTTTTGGCTTCGCGTCTCATACCAAAAAAGAGAAAAAAAAATATATTTATAGGGTCGGACTTCGATCCGAACGAAAAAATTGGGTCAACCCGAACCCGAGACCGAAACCTTCGATCGGGGTCAGATTAGAATTGGAAAATATTTACAAATGCATATAACAATTTAGAATTTTTTTTACAAATTTGGGTATAAATTTAGAAAAATTTTATAAATTAGAATATATTTTTAAATTTATAATTTGGATATATATTTAGAAAAAAATTTACAAATTGGGATATTTTTTTAGAATTAACACTAAAATTTATCATCACATTATTTTGATATTTCATATTACAATCTTTGATTCTATAGTATAATCACATTAACGTAATTTTTATTTTATAATCATTGGAACTTTTGTCCAACTACATCTCCGGCATAATCTGTCGGTGTGAATTGATATTTTGTAGTGTGTCCCTAAAATCCATGCGAGTGCATTTTGAGGATCTCTCCTCTCCTCTCAGTTCGTCTTTCAATCTGAATTCGAATTTTCTACTCATTGTCGTCTGCCGTCATGTTTTCGTCTCTCTCAACAATTCCTTCATCGCCGTTATTTTCTTTTGTTGCCGTCAAAGCTGCTGCTCCTCCTCTCGCTCGGCCTCTTCCTCTGCGTCAGCGTGGCGTCAGAGCTTGTTCGAATCACGATGCTCCGACTTCTTTGTTCGTCGACAAGTTCAAATCTCTTGCCAAAACGGCGGTCTTCATCGGCGCCGCCGTCTCCGTTGCCGGAAAGTTCCCTACTTTGCCGGCGAAAGCCGAGTATCCGGTCACGACCGCCGAGGAAGCATTGGAAGAAGAAGTGAGGAACGATGAGAAACTGTCGGAGAACGAACCCTCGTCGCTGTTGTCGGAGCTTCTGGATTCAAACGGCGAAGCCGTCGAGAAGCTGAGATCACTCCTGCAGCAGAAGCTGGAGAACGGTGAGGACGAGGAGGCTCTCAAGCTCCTCGAGCGGCTTGTCGCCGCACAGCCTGAGGAGACAGAGTGGAAGTTTCTCATGGCGAGGGTTCTGAGCGAGATGGGCCGCTTGGAAGACGCACGCAAGGTGTTCGACGAAATTCTCGACCGAAACCCATTATCGTTCGAGGCCTTGTTCGAGAACGCATTGCTCATGGACCGATGCGGGGAAGGAGAATCAGTGATGAAAAGGCTGGAAGACGCATTGTCAATGGCCGAAGCTGAGAAGAAGGTGAAGGAAGCAAGGGACGTGAAGCTGATAATGGCGCAGATGCAGTTCTTGCAGAAGAAGGTGGAGGAAGCCCTGAAGAGCTACGAAGAGCTGACGAAGGAGGATCCCAAGGATTTCAGGCCATATTTCTGCAGAGGTATGATCTACAGCTTGCTCGATAAGAACGCAGAGGCTAAGGAACAGTTTGCTAAGTACAGAGAGCTCTCTCCCAAGAAATTCGAGGTAGAAGGGTACTTGAGAACTCCGCTGTCGAGAATGAATTTGTTCGGAACCAACGAAGAAAACTAGACGACTGTCATCCGACCGGGTAATTCACCTACCTGGGAATTTACGTTTTCCGGGGAAATCCTAAATCTTTTGCAGTGTCTTTTTACTCGTCCATTTTGGACAAGACGATCCGATTTCTAGAAGTCGTTTGATGGGCAAGTAAGAGTAAGTTAATAAAGGATAACATACCGATAATGCCGGTGCTTCCTGATGTTCTCGAGCATTTGTCGATTCGCCTGTGTTGTCGATCCCGATCCGCCTTGGGATTTCGTTTCTATGATTATCTGCGAAAATGTTGAATGAATACAGGTATTTAGCAACTTTATTTGCAAGTAACTAGATCGAGAAAATCTTTGTTCAAATCTTCGGTAACCTAAAAACATGAAAACGGTAATGTTCAAATCTTAGGCTTAGTATAAAAAATAACGCAGACCCAAGATTCAGGCGTATAAATGATGTCCGTGTTCTTTACAACATCACATTTGTATGTCTGAATCTGATTATTCACAACATAATTCTTGGTGTGAACTTATACAAATCAAAGCTAAGTGAAAACGTCAAAAATGAAGATTGCCAAAGCGTATAAGAACTTACGAGAAGATGAATTCTGAGATAAACCCAGAATTCTTTCTGGAACGAACGATCTTTACTCACGGCATGAATCCATTGAAATTATTGGTACGAATTTCGAAAATCAAAGCTCGGACATTTTTATAGGCTTCTCCCAAAAGTATAGCCGTTGGGTTTCATCTTTCAAACGGTCGAATTTCGAATATCAAGAAGATAGGAGGCGTTTGGAATCCGACCGTTTGAATTTGATAGAATGGTCCATTGGATCGTACAGAAAAAAGGTACAGAGAGAAAGAAAGTAGCTACTCATAATTTACCAAATTATCCTTCGGCCTTAAGATCATTATACAACTGACCTCGGCCTCTTTTGAAGCCCATTATTTCTAATTTTCCATGTACAGAAAAAGGTACAGAAAAAAACCATATTTTATATTGACATTTCGTTCGTGTTTTTATAAAAAGTTTTAGAAGATTTAGAAGAATGTTCTACAGTATTTTACACCTAATTGAGATACGAAGATAGAATTCTACGTCAAAATACAAAGTATATCTAAAAAGATCTAAAGAAAATAAAATACTTAGGAACTTGAGATATTTTGAATAGGGGCAGACGTTTTGGAATCGAATCGAAAATTTTTGTATTTTTTTAATCGTATTATTCAAAATTCTCAAACAGTATATTTCTTATAAAACTGAATTTTCTGAAATCAAACCAAACTTTATAAAACCGAATTTTTTTAACAAAAACCAAAATCAAATTGTACCAAAACCAAAATTAAACCGAATAATATATGATACTAATTTGATACAAATTTTAGAATACCGAATAAATCGTTCTCGAATCAAACTGATAAAATTTCGAACCGAATCACAAAATACCCATCCTAATTTTTTTAACATACGGTATAGGAAGATATTATTATTAGAATATTATAATTGATATGATTATGATTTACTCTAGATATTATGCCTAGAATATTCTATTGTATTTTACTATATATTATGATGTATTCTTCTTATTATCAATAATAGAAAAACATTTTTCCTTATTATGTTATCAGAGCTTCGGTTTTTGCTCTAATTTTTTTTTCTTTTCATCAACAATGTCGGTCGAATCCGAAAGCGACGATGAAGATGACAACGATGTACTAAATCCAATAGTATCATCGCCTTGAGTATCGTTTTAAATTTATTTTGCTCTTTTTTTTTCTTCTATATTTTTTCCCCGACGGCGGTGTTCATCACCGTCAACCCTAGCCGATGTGCTATTTTTTTTAACGACGATGTTCGTTTATCGACGTCAACCTTAGCCGATGTGCTACTCTCTTTTTTTCTCTGGCGACGTTCATTTATCGATGTCAACCCTAGCCGTTGTGAGCTCTTTAAACATGGCTTTTAGCCTCTTTCGATTGGAAAACTCCGATCGTCGATCCACGTATTTGCGCCACTTATTTTTATTTTCTTTTCTTGTCCCGCTGTTAGACTCACGCATTATGTGTTGCGCTTTTGCACCCATTTTTTTTTTCTTCTTTTCTCCGGCCTAGCCGCTATATACACCGCAGTTTTTTGCGCTGCTGACTTCATTGTCGTGCAACCCAATTCACGCATATGTGTCGCACTTTCGTGCCACATCAACCTCTGAGAATACAATTCTCAAGTTCTTCAAACGTTATCAAGCAACACCGACTCAAGTCTGGACTACACCACCACATGGAAGATGATTCGTTTAATATGATCACAGTTTCAGTTTTTAGTTTTTATGTAACAAGATTGAATTCATTATATATGATTCATCTTGAGGGAGCATATAGAAAGATATTATTATTATAATATTATAATTGATATGATTATGATTTACCCTAGATATTATGCCTAGAATATTCTATTGTATTTTACTATATATTCTATTGTATTCATTTAAACTATATATTAAAATGTGAATGGCGGCATGTAAATCACCTAATGATGACTCTAGTAGAAACCATTTTCATTAAAAGATAAATTAGATAAAGTTACAAATAATAATACTTTCTTCTGTCACAAGCCGGGCCAGCCCCATCCCTACTCACAACGAGATTTATTTATTTTTTTCGCTTTAAATTTTTCCGAACTGCGAATATTTTTTTGTTTATTGAAATTTCTCACTGATATTGGCAATGGCATCCCCTCCCTCTTTATCAAATATCAAATATCAATTCGATGTAATTACCTACGACAAGACAAAAACACACACACACCCAAAAAAAAACACGATCTGTCCGAAACTGATGCAACTCGTATTGAAATCCAATTAAATGGCATGGACCCTTAAAGGAGATATACCAAAAGCCCAAAATACGAAGATTGAATAATAAGACGAGGAAAATACGAAAATCCCAAATTTAAAGGCTGTGAATTTTCTGAGCCCGTCGATAAAAAAAACCCAAATATAGAAACAGATGCAGAGAATATGGAAGAAAAAAAAGGACTTTATTTCGACTAACAGCAGGAGCTGGTGCGTCTTATGAACTGCAGGGGGGGGGGGGGGGGATTGGTCGGTCCAACGATCGATTTCTAAAACGGAAAAGGGACAAACTGCACAAAGACTGAGGAGAGCTCTCAAGTATTCAGTCATAGCTCAGTCACCCTCTCTGCCTGCAACCAATGGATGCAAAAAAAAAACTATTAGTTTCAATCTCAAAAGGAATTTGAAAAAAAAAAACAAGAGGCATGTTCAAAGAAACCCATCTGAATCAATGCTTGTGGGTTCTAAAACTGTAACATACTTGAGAACTGGTATATATGCCCACCGGTTAGTCCCATAAAATGCACAAGGGTCGAACTGGGTATCGCTATGCCAAGTTCAAAACATGTTCAGCTGTCTCATAACTCATTGACAAATCATAGGACCCAACATTTATGTGGAGTTAAAATTGTTCTATTCTATTGGTATAGTCTAACGACAGAGTCGGTAAAAAGACCATGCTAAGTGTTAGGTTGGATAAGGTAAGTGTTAGATTGCCTTTTATCCCTTCGGGTTCTTTTTCTAAAAGCGTTCTATAACATACTCAAGAAGAGTAGCTTACGCCTTATATAGCTATCTAACATACTCCAGATTCAGATTCTCAGCACCTAAAAACAGCAACAGTAAACACGAACAACAAGGCAATCGACAATTTTGTACTCAGAGACACCCATGATACGAGGTCCTAGAATGCAGAAACCAGAATGTATCAAAAAGTGTCCAAATTTTCTCAGTTATCCTACCAAAAAAGCATAAAAGAAATCTGTGAATCGGAATGCAAAACTAAGCAATTACCTCGCACGACTCAGGCGTATAACATTATTCAGATTCAACAGCCTCTGGCTTAGGACCTGCATCCAAACAATAAAAATACCGAAGATCCAAAGAGAACATTCATCAATTAAAAAATGATAAAATGGAGCAAAAACCCTAATAAGCTAAGAAGATCAAGCTACGCTAAAATTCAATTCCACATGAAATTAAACAGGTTTAGTGGATAAATTCCAATGACATTAACGTACCAACTGAATAATTAAGAGCGACGATCTAAGAATCATATTTGAAGACGAAAGCAGCAGTCCACTAAGACGAGGACCAAATCCAAATCAATTCAGCAGTACGATAACCCATTGAGAAGTTGACTAAGAAGCAATACCCTAAAGGAATCACATACAGATTAAGCGTAACATTCTCCATTCACCGGCTAACTAACCAATAACAACAACAACAACAACAAACCCTAGGAACGCAGAAAAGAGAAAACGCCGGAAACGCACCGTGGAGCGAAATGGGACGGTGATCTTTGCCCCAACCGACGCCGCGAGTGGCGTCGAGGTACTGCTGAACGAGATGACGACACTTCTGATAGTGATTGACGCCTTCCACGCGGTAACACCACTTAACCTTCTCCCGCAGGATCTTCGCCTTCTCGATGTGGATCCATTTCTCGCGAACGATATGCTCTCTCATCTCAATCATCGCCACCGGATCTTTGTACGGATTCGCCGGATCGAAGTCATCCGGCGCCGTCTCCTCGAACTCTGGCAACCCCTTCTTCCTCCCCATTCTCCGCGAACTCTCTCTCTCTCTGCAGAAGCTTTTGGCACTGTGACTTGTTCGTTCGTTTGGATCGAAGATAGGGATTTGACTTTGTTAATGTCATTTGGGCCTCTTAACAATGTGGGCCATCGAATGTAATCTCAATCATAATGGGCCTACAATTTAGAGCCTAATATAAGAAACGACCTTTCAAGTGTGGGCTCATATACGGGCCTACTGATTTTAGGCCTCTTAAGCAGGTGTGTGTATATATATAAATATAATGGTGTGGTCATGGCTTTCGGATGGATTCGGTTCGGTTATATTCAGGTTTAATTATTTTATTTATAGAAAAATTATAGTCATTCAGTTTTGATATTAATTTTGGATCTGTTCAATTTTATTTGATGCACATGAAAAAGCTAAAACAAATTCAAAAAAAATGTTGGGTTTTTTCCGATAATTTTTTTTATTAGATTCGATTCAATTCGGATTCGATTGTTTCAGATTTTCATAATCGTTTAGTTGTTATATCAGATTTGATTCAATTATGGTTCGATTCAATTATTTGATTAATAACTAAAAGTCACCCCATTTGAATTCAAATGCAAGTATAAAAAGATATATGTAATATACACTTAAAAAATACACGAAATATATAGATAGATTAATCTTTTTTGCTCACTAGATACAATACATTTTTATGATCTATAATATATATATATATATATATATATATATTTGAATTTGACAAACATATATTTGTAAACTACCCAAATCTATTCCTGTTCTCTCTTTTGTTATTCTAAAACCAAACCAATGCAACTTCAAGTGTTTTGCCTGTCCATTAGTTTGTGTCATTTCCCTCGAGAGTCGACATTTACATGTCCTTCCCCATGTGTTTAGAGCATAACTGAAAATTTTACTTTGATGTTGTTGTTTTACACAGGCTGTGGATACAGGTCAGATGAATCGGTAATCGCTGGTGTGGCCAAAGCTCTAATGCCCTCTCTTGACAAGAGGTATTTCTGCATACCTGAATAGATTTGTCGAAGAATTTTATCTGTTGCCATCGAATTTTGCTGTGCTGTCTTAATGAGGTTGGAAGAACTAATGTACAAGTGAAACGCATTCTTCAAGGTTTTTATTCCTCTTGATGGATATACAAAGAACGTGTATGTACAGGTTGACTCAACGTTGCATCTGAACTCTGTAAAACCACTGTGTTTCTACATGTAAATATATATATATATATATATATGTCTACCATGAGAAAAGAATTTCCAGCGAATGCAGACAAATTTAAAGATTTTGAGGAAATCCATTCATAGGATTTTTAAAACAAGTATAAGGTGATATTTCATCCTTCTCCTATTGGACTTATCAGACAAAAATTAAAGAAAATGTCAACTTTTATTTAATTTAAATAATATGCAAATGGCATTGGATGACCAATTCAAAATGATTTAATTATTAGGCGGAAAATATTATGGGATAATTGTTTTATAAAAACCCAAAAAAAAAAACTATAAGATCACGATTTTTTTCGGATATCTAAAAATTCAGAATGTTCAAATACAAATTTGAATGTAAACATGTAAATAATATATTTTTATTTGAAAGAAGTGGGTTTAAGCTGAGTTTGGATTTTCGGATAATTTGTCTGTCTCCGATGTAAAATTATTATATGCCTCTTTTTTACCAACATAATAAACCCATGAAATTAACTTTGAAATATCAAAATTTATTGCTTTGAAAATGACAAAATTTTACGTTGAACCAAGCTCCAATAGATATTGGAATCAACCTATATATATATAATACGCATACATGTATATACTACATTAATATATCTATATACATACACACACATGCATGCATGAACACGTGTGTTTGAGTGAACAATATTCTAGAAAGGTGAAATCGAGGAAGGGAAATGTATAAATACGAAATTTTCCAAAGGTAGGATTGACATTTTAATTATATATTTACACGGACACTATAACTATGTATACGCAGCCAGTCTCGTGGGTTGGTGGGCAATTTTAACCACTCTCCTGTTTTAATTATAAATATATCTCGAAAATTGTCTTAATTTATTAAATATTTTAGTATTTAATATCATGGTTAACTAATTATAAGACCTGCATGCAGCAGAGAAGAAGGTTCCATGAATCTACTATCTCTGCATATGAGTAGTATTCTCCATGTATGACTTTATGGACCGTACGTTTAAGAAGAGACCTAGAGTATATATTACATACATATATATATATATATACATGTGTGTGTATTATATATTATATATAGGTATATAAATAAGTATCTATTATGTTTATATATAAATTGCCATAAAAAGGTGCTCAGATGAATAAATTTTTTTTTTAAAAAAAATTCTTATTATAAAAATTTACATTTAAAGCGTGTACACGTCTCTGAGTCAAGGGTTTTTAACTTGGAATATTGAAAATATATATTGGTGAAATCGGTACAGTTAAATAGGAATCCATATAGATAATGGATATATGCTCATCAACATTAACATTGGTCCACCAAATCAATATCTTTGTTCGTGTGAGCCTTTCGTAGAAACTTCCATTTTTGCGAAGATTTTTTATAATAACAAAAAAATACTATATGTTATAAAATAACCATTTTTTCTAATAAAAGAGAAAACAATAAAAACAATTTATTTAGGTCGTTGGTCAATCTGCTTTGGTCCAAATTAGAAATAAATTACAAAAAACTCTGGATTTGATATCAATGCGATATGTGTTTCATCAAATTACTTATTCGATTAAGCAATTTAACACAAATCTTTCAATTTTGTATTCGAGATCACTAGTTGCTGTATTTGTGACCCGAATTCTTATTATAATATATGTTCTAAGATGAGGAAAGAAATTATGTGATGTTTTCTCATTTAGTGTGCGTCTGTGTGTATATATATATAGAGAGAGAGAGACCACACACACACACATTACATATATATATGTCATTGCCAAAAAACATATATGTCAATGGTGATGACAAACGCAGGAAGACAAGTGTCAATATAATAATAAGGTATAATGATGGGGGAATGAAGAAGCCGTGCATTTGCATGTTCCCATTGGGCGTTAGGGTTTCCTTGGTGGGTAGAAATGGGTGAAGGTGGTTGGATAGGATCTCACACACATCTTCTTAATCAAATTATTATACTATAAGACATATTTTTATTATTTTATATGTATATATAATTTATAGTAAAGTTTTTGGACTAACATTTATAAAAAAATAATACAATTCACTGCATATATATATATATATATGTATATTGTTACGATTGAGAAATACATATCTATCTCTCTCGCTATATATATATATCTTAAAAAAATGAAACTAGGCCGGAGTTTAGAGATTCTCTAACACTTAATTTACATATTGGCTATTTTTATTTAAATGATTATGCATTCTTATATTTTTGTTTTCAAACAAGATTTTGGCTATTATATATATGCTTTACATTGCCCTCATAGTTTATTTTGAATCGGTTCTAACAGTGACATATATATACCATAATATATAAACTAAATATGTAAATTAAACCCCTATACATTGTATTTGACCGAAGGAAAAATCTTATATATGGGACTGTATAATTGACAACAACAACTATATTAATTATATTCGTTTGTGCATACATTTAATATTTAAATAATAATTTTTAAAAAAAAAACAGATTTGCATGGGAACCATATCAGAAATTGTCAAAGTGTTAGCTGTAATTATCAACAATGGAAAAAGACTAGCCGAGGCTCCTTCTTCCTCAATATCCGAATTTGGTACAATCATATATATTTGTGTGTGTTTTTGTGTATATATATATATTGTTTATATATATATATACCCCATCTATGTCACATTGACGAAAAAGCTTTTTGCTGATAATTCCATTCTCTCCTTCTTCTTCTTCCTCTTCCTCTTAGAGATAGAGAGAGAGAGAGAGAATAAAGAGAAGAAAGCTTTTTCTTCCGTGAGTTCTTAGATTTAGCGAGGAGAAAATAAAAATCAGATATTATAATATCGGTGAAAATACAAAATTAAAAAAAAATGGAGGAAAATCTTCCTCCGGGATTCAGATTTCACCCGACAGACGAAGAGCTGATCACACATTATCTCTGCCGGAAAGTCTCCGAGGTGGGATTCACGGCCAAAGCCATCGTCGAAGTTGATCTCAATAAATGTGAACCCTGGGATCTGCCAGGTAATATATATGTATATATGTATATAGCATATGGGAGTATGTATGCATGTTTGTGTGTGCTTATGAACTTTGTCGAGTGTACGTTTGTTTGTGTATAATCAGTATTGATATACATACATATATATATATATATATACACACGTGTGTATGTGTGTGTGTTCAAATTAGAATGAATGTTTTGATCAAATAAGGTTCCGAATCAATCAGTGTTAGTCTCTCTATTATATAGGATAAAAATGCACAAGTTCAATATAAAGAATTGTGATAAATACATTTTTTTATTTCTGTATATATTTTCTTTATATTTCTTAAGAAATATATTATTTTTCTCTTTCTATAGATACAACACCTATATTTTTTTTTCTTTATATACAGCATCATTACAGAAAATTAAAATTGTTTTTTGTTTGGTAAATAAGATGTTTCGGTCCTTTGAGTCTCATTAACATTTTAGAACTATTTTTACGCCGGATATTTGTCTCAAAATTCTATTGCAGTAGTTAAATAAAGATCATATATCATATGTTTTATCGGTTAAAATTTTAAAAAGCTGATTCCATATTTTGACATGCGCTTTGCTTTGCAGAAACAAAAATGCATATATTTTACGCCCTTTTTATTTTATTTTTAAATTCTAATTCGAACATAATATCTAAAATTAAAACTACACCGGAAACTCGTGTGTTTTTGGCGGAGTAATTTACGTTATACATAATACATATATGTATATATATGCAGTAGCGGATCCAGAAAAAAATGTTAGTGGGGGCAATAGACGACCGTTTCGATATTCGGTTTAGAAATAGATCGGTTCGAATCTTTCGATTTTAGAAAAATATGTATCAATCGGTTACAATATCATATTCAGTTCGGTTTGGTTTCGGTTTTTATTAAAAAAATGTATGTGATGTTTTATTAAAAAAATTATTTATCAGGTTTTTTAAAAATTCGATTCATATCAATAAATTTGGTTTTCTAAAAATAATACCGTTCGAATTAAATAAAATATCGTATTGTTCAGTTTTGTACGGTTCGATTATAAAATCGTACCAAAACGTTTACTCTAAAATATTAAATAAACAATAGATCAAAAATTAATAAAATATACTGTCAAAATAATATTTATATTTTACTACTAAATTCTATGATTTTTTATTTTTTAAAATTTATCTATAATAATTTTATTTATAATTTTTTAAAATATGTAATTTCCGATAAAATAAATTGTAACTTTGACGTATTTTTAATTTAATTTAATTTATTTTTTGTATTGTGTTTAATATTAAATTTGAAATTTTTTTAGAAAATTGAGAGAGAAAAACAAAAAAAATATGGAAATTAAGTTTAAGAAAAAAGCTTAACAATATCTAATATTTAGAAAGAAAAAAAATTAAAATAATAAAAAAAGAATGAGAGGAGAGGGGGCAAAACAAAAAATTAAATGGGGGCATTTGATATTTTTTATCAAAATTTTATAACTATTACAAATAAATAAATTTTTTTTGGCAAAATATATGGGGGCATGGGACCCCACACCAATACATGTGGTATGTGTGTATCTAGCAGCCTACCAAACACGTGTGGACTACTACACACACATATATAACTATATATATATATATATAAGACACTCATAATTAGATTACATATAAATTATAATGCATAATATTGAATTTATGCGTAAATAGTTATTAAAGGTAAACCCCAAGCTAGCTTATTTATTTCATTAGGCTCTTAGCACTTGTCTTATTCTAGGAGAATCTTTCTAAATACATGCACGGATTTTAATATAGTCGCTTAAGATCAGAAAATTAATTGGATCAATTATTCAAAGTACCAAGCATGGATTATTGATATTTATTTACGTTTTGAAGATATGATGCATTTGTATGATATTGATAAGACCGTGTGTGTGGGAATGCATGCAGCTATGGCTTCGATGGGGGAGAAAGAGTGGTACTTCTTCAGCTTAAGGGACCGGAAATACCCGACCGGTTTAAGAACAAACCGGGCAACAGAGGCCGGTTATTGGAAAACCACCGGTAAAGATAAAGAGATATACCGGACCGGAATTCTAGTGGGGATGAAGAAAACCCTAGTTTTCTACAAAGGAAGAGCTCCAAAGGGTGAGAAAAGCAACTGGGTCATGCATGAGTATCGTCTCGAGAACAAGAATCCCTTCAAACCCACCAAGGTATATACACACATATATACATATATATATATCACCACATTTATTTACTTACATATACATGTAACATGCATTATACATATGCATATATATGGTCGCATTAATTTTATTACCCATGAAAAATGCTTAGTTATCATTTTTCACATTGAGTTTTATGTTCTAGAATGTGTATATACTAAAACATGTTATAAACATGACTGTTTGAAATATATATATATATATATATATATATATATATATCACTACATTTATGTACATACATATATATATACATGCATTATACATATATATATATATATATCACTACATTTATGTACATACATATATATATACATGCATTATACATATATATATATATATATCACTACATTTATGTACATACATATATATATACATGCATTATACATATATACATATATGTACACGCATATATATACACACTCATGCATACCACTACATTTAAACCCTAATTTCATACACATACGTATATCACTATGTTTATGTACATATATAAAATGAAGTTATCATTTTCACATTGAATTTTTTTGTTTTATATTAAGTGAATATACACACAAAAACAATTTATGAACACTGACTAACTGTTTGATTATGTATATATCTGTGTGTATGTATTTATCAGGAGGAATGGGTGGTATGTAGGGTTTTCGAGAAGAGTGTAGCAGTGAAGAAGCCACAAGATCATCATGCACAGTCCTCACAACCATCTCTCGACGATTCTCCTAATTGTGATACAAATTCGGTAGCAAACGACTTCGGAGACATCGAATTCCCAAACCCGAATCCGAATATATCAGCCGGAATCCATCATCATCATCATCATCATCATAATATATCATCTCAAAGTGGAAATATCTATTCAGGGGACAATCTCAACATGAACATGAACATGAACATGGCCAATACTCTTCCATTACTCTCCTCATGGATGATGGGCTCAACTCCTCTATCTCCAATGAATTCTGCACTTCTCAAGGCGTTCCAGTTCAAGAATTCTTATAATTTCCCGAAAGATTCGATCGGTTCTTCCGTCCTTCAACATGGAGATTCGAATTATGGCATGATCGGCTCGACCTCAATGTCGCAAAATGGTCCGACCTCTCACCCTCAGTCACAACCACAGGAACAACCATTCAATATGGACCCTATATGGTGAAGGAACTCAAGAAACACACGACAAAAAAGGAGATCGAATTGTGAAAAAATATATTTAAATTTGGCTAACTAGCTCTTATAAACATATTTCATCAATTTCAATTCTATCATTGACGTTGTCTCTATCTTTTTTTTTTTTTTTAATCTCTTACACATTTGTATATGGTTGAACCGTTCGAGTAAATAAATGTTTCCTATTATAATTATACGTATCTATAATATATAACTACAACGTCAAAATAGGGTAAACTTCCTTCTCGTCGTCCTTTGCGTATGCATGTATTATATAACTAATGAGGAAATTTTCTTTACCCTAAATATTTTTAATCTTATCCCTTTCTTTTCATCCAATGCAAATTTGGTGATGGAAAACGACTCAAGTTTTTTTTTTCCTCCCAAAAGATCTAATTTTTTTTATAGAAAATTATCCAATAATTAGGTGTGTTTAGATTTGATTTTATTTATATATTTACATATTTGTATTAGAAAATTAAAGTTTTGTCTATCTCCTTATATATATTTACTACAAATATTGAATTATCATCCTTGTTTCCAATAATATTCTAATCAAATATATTAATCATGGTATGATCAGGTTCAATGTAACCAATAATTGAAAGAATTTGAGAATCTAACGTTTGATGAAGATGAAAAATAGAGGAGATTCAAGAAGTTCTGGAGATCGTGTCTCCTTTTTCTTATTTTGCAGAGAATGATATTCAGCCTTATAAAAAGGCATACTCGTGATACAATCTGTAGACAAAATAGGAAATGTATCTTATAATAAGGAAACACATGCTGTTAAAGAAAAGTGTAGAGATATTGTTGATGATTTTGTCTCCTTTGATTCTTCAATCTTCTAACGGCATGAGAAGCTCAACATCAGTCCATGGACTGGACCATTCATCCACTGATTCAGAGTCCAATTCATGTACAGAAGCATGGTCGTTGATGATCAATTGGGCTTGTTCAGATTTCTTCCAAGCTTGCACATGTCGAGAGAGATTGTCTGGTTCAACATTCCCCCTCAAGATTGGTTCGAGGAGCTCGACGACACCAATCTTGGAAAGAGAATTGCTAAACACCTTGATGTTCGAAGCCTTCTGAAGATATCGGCTAGTTGATCGTTGCTCTTCGTATAGGAGGTTGTGATAATTCCTTGTGATATCTTCTCGCGTACGAAATGACAGTCAATTTCGATATGCTTGGTCCTTTCGTGGAACACCGGATTTTGAGCGATATGCATAGCTGCGTGACTGTCACAATGGAGTGTCACTGGTTGGACTGTAGGAATGTCAAGATCTTGAAGTAATGCTTTGAGCCACATAATTTCACACGTCGTATTCGCCATTGCCCTGTATTCTGCTTCTGCGCTAGATCTTGCAACGACTTGTTGTTTCTTGCTTTTCCAAGTCACCAAGTTGCCTCCAAGGAACGTGCAATATCCAGTTGTTGATTTTCGGTCCGTCATGTCTCCTGTCCAATCGGCATCGCAGTAAGCCACAAGCTCGACATGATTGTTGCGGTTCATCCAAATCCCTTTTTTCGGAGTTCCTTTTAGGTATTTGAGAATCCGCTCAACCATTCGCCAGTGATGTATGGTTGGTGCATGCATCCATTGGCTTACCTGTTTCATGGAAAAACATAAATCAGGACGAGTTATAGTTAGATAAATTAACTTTCCGACAACGCGACGATATTGTTCAATATTCGCGTGTAATTCCCCCTCGCGTTGTTCCTTGTAGTTGTCTTCCAAAGGAGTTTTAGCCGATTTTGTTGCAAGTTTTCCTGTAGCACGGAGAAGATCAAGTATATATTTCCTTTGGGAAAGGAATATGCCAGAGGGAGATCGAAGTACTTCAATGCTAAGGAAATATTTGAGTTCTCCAAGATCTTTTATTTCAAACGTTTGTCTCAAAAAATTCTTAGTGGCTGCAATCCCATCATTATCATTGCCAGTAATAATAATGTCGTCAACATATATGAGTAGAACGATTATACCCGAGGAAGATTTCTTGGTGAATAAGGAATGGTCTGATTCGCTGCGAGAGAAAGAGTTGTTGGCGAGAGCCGTGTTGAGTTTGGAGTACCATGCACGAGGTGATTGTTTGAGTCCGTATATCGATTTTTGGAGCTTGCAGACTTTTTCAGGACCAAGTTGTTCACGGTAACCCGGTGAAGGAATCATATAGATGTCTTCGTTTAAATCGCCTTGAAGGAACGCATTTTTGACGTTCATCTGCCACAAACACCAATCAAGATTAGTAGCAAGAGATAGAATAACACGAACCGTCGGTAATTTTGCCACCGGAGCGAAGGTTTCCGTGTAATCTTCGCCGTAGGTTTGAGTGTATCCTTGAGCGACGAGTCGGGCTTTGTGGCGTTCGATATCACCGTTACTCCGATACTTGATTTTGTAGACCCACTTACTCCCGATGACATTTTTGTTCGGAGGTCGGTCAACAATTTTCCAAGTATGATTGCGTTCCAAGGCATCCAATTCTTCTTGCATCGCATTGACCCAGACTTGTGTTTCTTTTGCATGTCGGTATGATCTGGGTTCATTGCTTGCATTTAATTTACTGAGGAATAATATCTCATCAGAATCCACGTGAGAATAAGTACAAAATTCTTGAATAGGATATTTAGGATAGAAATCACCAGAGTGAGTATGGAGAGCTTGAGATTCTTTGGCTTGTTTCTCTAAGCGAGCTTGAATTCTGTTGCTACGTCGAACACCATCAGCAGTGACTGTACTCCTACGCAGAGGTTCGAGAGAGACAGAGGAAGTCGATGATGGGTTTCCCATGGAGGTTTCGTGGTTCGTTGATAGTGACGGTGGTGACGGTGGGTCTACAGGCAGAGCTTGAGTCGACGGTGACGGTGGCGATCTAGTCGATGAAGACGGAGTAAGGTCAGCGGAGCTCGAAGACACAGAGTGTTGGTTGTAATGCTCTAAGATAATCCGTAATATGACATTTTGACTTTGTATTGATTCATTGATTTATGAATGCATTACATTCCCGTTATATGATTGGCATGTTTGTTATATTTCGGCATCCTTGAATCATTAGCGAATGATTCTAAACTCCCTAGTCAGTCAACATTGTGGGAACAATGTTGAATTAAGACTAGCATGAGGAGTGATCGATGCATTGGATGCATATCACAATCATGGGTACTCGTTGTGAACGAGTGACTGGATGACCCGCATGAGATTGTCACATGGACAGAGTCATGACTTGAATCTCATACAGCGGTTCGTTTATGGATCCTCATACCTGAGATGTCTAGAGTATCTGATATGAGGAATGACGTGTCTTGACTGCGTCAAACGTCGTCTTTAACCGGATGATTATAACGGCGTTGATCAGACATGTTCACGAATCATATGGAGATAGTAGACATGCAATATGGGACTTGTCACCTCCTTAACAGGAGAGATATCGCTGGGCCCCCTCGTGGAAGTCGGACTATGAAAACGCGTGGCCACGCTATAGATGAAGTTGCATCTATTTTACTAGTCGATTTGCCAAGACGAGAAAGCAGTTGAACTTGAAGGGTGGCTCAAACCATGCCCTTGTTCAACTTATGATATCGTGAGACAAAGGATCAGAATTCGAGCAGTTAATGCCTTGGTTAGATCACCTCTAACTCAATTCTAAATGGGTGGTCATGGCGTCTTGCTAGAGGCTAACCATGACTTGTAGATCGGGAATGGGTCTCGAGGCTACTGCCACTGCGAATGAGCCTACAGGGTCACACACCATTAGGGATGGACTTATATGTGAAGTTTCAGAAAGGAAGACTTGGATTTGGTCGGAAAAACCGTTTTCGGATCAAATCAGAGTGTCGGGACGTTTTCAGCCTTCTGACTCGAGGTTTGGTCCGGAGCTGACCAAAAGTTGGTCAGCCGGACCAAACCTCCAGGTCAGACGGCGCGAGCGTCGGACTGAGCAGACGAAGAAGGAAACTTGGTCCGGAGCTGACCAAAACTTGGTCAGCCGGACCAAGCCTTCAAGTCTGGCGGACCGCGAGCCTCGGACTAATCTTGGTCTGCCGGACCAAGCTCCTGGTCCGGCGGACCAGGATCCGGAATATTTCCAAAATTCGATTTTAGGGTTTTCTAAACTTATTTTAAGTTTAGGGTTTCGTCTAAACTTAATAAGAGAGCCGACCTAAAACTCAGAGAAACACCTTAGAACCCTAGAGAAGCTGTTCTCTTGGATTTCTATTGTCCCGGGATTGGATCTCGTCTTTTGAGTTACCCTTTTCTTCACTAATCCTAGCAGATTCGTTCCAAATTGTTTGGAATCTTTCCCGTCGGTGTGGATACGTGTAGAGGAGTTGTACTTTCAGCTCTTGGTGATTTAGAACAGGCCCCGGATCGAAACAAACTTCAAGTCTCATCGAGAACGAGGTAAGTAACGATTTTCTCGGTGATATACACGATTTTTCGGGTTCTGCGAGTTTGGTTGCGTGTGACGTTTGACTAGGTTTAGATTTTTCTTCCGCTGCATGAAACCTAGTAAACCAAACCCTAGATCGATATGATCGCATGCTAGGAACCCGTAGATTACCCAACACAGAGGTGTCGAGGGGGGCTTGCACAGAAGCATCACGTGGAGAGGCAGAGACTGTTTGGGGATAAAATTCACAGTGAGAGGGACCGAGATTACCAGAGTTAGTGGAAGCAGATGACGGTGAAGTCTGAGAAGAAACAGTCGGTGGATGAGTATGGTGATTGGCCCTAGAGTTATTGAAGTCGTGTGCAAAGCGTAGAAGGCGGGAAAGAGTTTGCGTGTAATCGATCGGCAGCATATGATCCAGATCAGAGGCGTTTGTTTGACCGAAGTAGCTGTCTTCGTGAAAGATGACATCGCGAGATACTTGAACTCGGTCTTGAGCAGGATCGTAACATTTATACCCTTTTTGCTCCGACGAATAGCCGATAAATATGCATTTCGTGCTTTTTGACTGCAGCTTATGTCGTTTGCTATCCGAGACCTTTGCAAAACAAACACAACCAAAGACCCGTAAATATTGAAGAGGAGCAGGAGTGTTATTAAGTACCTCGAAAGGGGTCTTATCATCCAACACTTTTGTCGGGAGACGGTTTATCAAGAAAGTAGCGGTTGTGACTGTTGGGTTTCGCTACGGATTCCTAGCATG